AGAATATAAGTCTATGATGTTTCTGATTTTTTCCTTGGTTGCTTTGTTAAAGCGTTTTTTGTAATTGTCGTACACTGCTTCTAAAGCAGTGATATTTCTCTGTATAGCTTTGGTCATAAATTACAATATATATTAATTAAATAATGTTATTTATTCTTTAAGTGGTTTTCTTAAGACTTTTTGTTATACTGCTTCAATATCAAATATTGGTATCATATTAAGACAAAGTACTTAAAGAAATATTATTTATATATATTAATAGTAAAATGACAAAACCTGAAGATATGACAATAGACGAAATCCGTGAACAACTGGCATTGTACAATAGGCTATATTATAATAAACGACGCGAAGACAAAGAGTATTTAGATAAAAAAAGGGCGTCAAGAGATAGGTATCTGGAGAAGAAGAAGATGGAAAAGTACATAGCCGAAAATGGTATAGATATTTCAGTCGTGAAGTTGACACCAGAACAGAAGGCAGAAGCACTAGCAAGTAAAAAGAAAGGAACTAAATACACGATGTAAAACTGCAAGGTGATAACAATGATTCTTAGGGAAGAGCCAGAAGAAGAGAAATAATAATTTTTGTAAAAATAGTCTTATTTTTCTTACTTATTTATATGAGCGGGAAAGCAAACATAATTAATGATGTTTATTTTGATAGAAGCGGGTTCGGTTCTAAGGCTACCACGTTGAAAGATGCAAGGGTCAAAGATAAAACGATTACAATGGCTGATGTTGAGGAATTTTTCAAGAAAAATGTAGAAAAAAAACAAACCAAGAGGTCAAAATAGTTTTGTAGCAACGCATCCGTATTTTGAGTTTCAACTTGATTTGTTTTTCATATCTAGCAACGATTTAGAAAACCAAAAGTTTAGAATAGGTTTAGTGCTTATTGACATATTCACTAAATATGCAACTGTTATACCAATAAAAAGCAAACAGCCACCAGATGTTTTAGCAGGTCTCATGGAAGGATTGAACAAAATGGATAAGAAACCACGCATGTTATATTCAGATGAAGAAGGCAGTTTATACAGTAAACCCATAATAGAGTATCTGGAGGACGAAAAAATTGAGATTCATTGAACTCGTGGACATCCGGCGTTTGCAGAACGCTTCATTAAAACCTACAAAGATAACTTATTCAAGCGCGTTGAAGCGGATAAGAAGAAAAGTAAAGAAAACATTCAATGGACTGATTATAACTTTGAAATTCTGTACATATAATAACAAAGATATACATTCATCCCATAATCTGACTCCACAGGATGCACGTTTACCAAAACATGAACTGAAAGTAAAATTGTATTTAAACATGAACGCTAAGCGTAGCAGAACATATCCTGAGATAGACGAAGGCGACAACGTCAAGATAATGAGAAAGAAAGGTATAAGTGAAAAAGAACATACATCACACTGGAATAAAACAATCCATAAAGTCACTAAGATTGAGAAGAAGTTAGGACAAAAATATTATCATTTGGACGATGATAAAAGGCCATACTTGCGACATGAGCTATTAAAGGTTTCTTAAGAAAAAACACTTAAAGAAATAACGACTTAATATATTAAGATAAAAATGTTCAGTGAACAAGAACAGGAAGAAATCATTAATCAATTCTTGGATGTTATTGAGATGAAGAAGATAATCAACAACAAGGTAAGTATGTGCACCAAATGCAAATTTACACCGCAAAATATGAACCTATGTCACTTACCATTGTCTGAAAATATTGTGAAAAACATATGTAAATATAATTACAAAGAATGCGAAACATGTACCACGCTAAGAGAGTTGAAAGGTAATGTTTATGGTTGTAGCATGAAAAAAATTGACAATGCAGTTGAAGCGGTTGAAGATAAACCTCGTATTGAGGAATACAGAGGAGGTGAGAAGGAGAAAAGAAACACACAAATCTATTTTTACATGAACCTAAACCCATTCCCAATATACAAAAAACTTCAATCAAAGGTATCAAAAAAACGATACAAAATTTTACAACGAAAAAATCCACAAAGAAATCAAGAAATGTTACCACAATTTATGGCGCGATAAGGATGATATAAAATCGTTTTACACCAAGCTTCGTAATCAGATAATTGCAGAATACGACAAAACATTTAAGAAAGACGTTGATACAAAACAAAGGTTTGAAAAATATATGGCTTCACACATTAATCCAGTAAGCGATATAATAAAAAGCATTTGTGATTATATCGCTAACAATGAAGAGCAAAATCAAGTTGAACACAAACTGTGTTCAAAACAAACCTCGTCTTTGGTTAAGGTGAGTCTTTCAATGATTCATTATAACGATGACTACTCATGGGAAAGGTATCTAGATTCTAGATATCCATGGTTGCCAAAAGATGAGTATCTAAGAAGGAATGGTATAACAACAACCGAGAAAATTGACGACAACTATCTAGACCTTGACGATTTTGAGTAGGCAAATAATATTAAAACATTAATATTATTTGCTATTCTAACTCCCTGAACGCGACAGCCTTCGCGTAGCATACGCGAACCTTAAATTTTCAGTACCTTAGATTTTTATGTTGGTTTTTGATTGTAAACAGCATTTTTGGTTCACTAGAGTAAAAATACTAAGCAAATACTATGAAAATATTCATGTTATTTGTGCTTTGCATCTTTTCATACTCCTAAATCTTCAGTACCTTACTTTTCGTATTTTGTTTTTTGATTGTTTTCTTGTTTTATAAAACTTTTGAGCCCAAACGCCTTAGGGTGTTATGGGGATTTAGGGGACAAAGCCCTAACAACCCAAACTTAACCGCAAGACGCCAACACCTTCTGAGGCACATCGCCAAGCCCTTGGTAAACAGTCGGATTGCCTGTGTTTTCCCGAAGTGGGAAAGCCGAAAAAACTAAACCTCGACCCCTAAGCCCTGACCTTGGCTTTGCACAAGGACGCGCCGGAACTCGCCTTCCTCCATCACCTGCCAAGTTAAGGGCTTAAGGGTTCATTCAGGCTGAATGCTGAAAGGCTGGGCTTCAGAATGGTGATGCAACAAGAGCCTGTTCTTGCCCGAGAATCTTGCGATTTGGTTCTGTGCGCACCGTGCTTCTGCGCTTGTGGCATTGGGTGCTCTGTCGGCGGTTCTGTCTGCGATGCACCGTGCCTCTGTGCATTCTGGCAACTGGTGCTCTCTGGCGCTTTCGAAGAAGAGAGAAGTCCCAAGGTTCGGGGATTGGAGTCCTAAGGTTTGGGGATTCGCGGATTGGAGTTCCAAAACTAGGGGATTCGGGGATTGGAGTCCCAAGGTTAGGGGATTGGAATCTCTCTTCACAGAACTGGAATGGAAAGCTACTTCACCCAAAAATGGTCTGGGACTGGGAGGGCGCTTCCATCCCACGACATCATGTCTTCCATCAGCATGGAGCTCACCTCGCGCTCAATGGCGCTCACTGTCGCGCCCTGTGCTTCGAAGCGCTTTGCCGTTGCCTCGATCATGTCCGTTCGGACTTCTTGGATGAACGCCTCAGACTTCCCCTTGTCTGCCAGAACTTTGAGGTTTCCAGCCAACTCGTCGCATCCGACGATGACCTTCGCCAGCTCGTGCCCGACCAGGTTGTAGATGACGCCCTCCTCGCGCGTGTAAATCTCCTGCCAACACAGGGCACTAGGCACTGCTTCACAAACTTGCACGAACAGCAAGTGGGATGGGTTACGAGGAACGAGTGCTTTCTGGAACAGTCCTTCTCATGTGCAGAGTCCCACTCTGCAGATGCGATGGAGAAGCCATCGCCCAGAGGTGCCGGGAACTGGACAGCATCCGTTGTCCTGCGCCCCCTCCAATCACGAGCCATGTCCTTGCGATTGATGTACTCGGGCAGGAAGAATTGGCGCACCTTGTCGTTGAAGATTGGCCTGTTGTAGGCGATGCCGCCCGTGTTGATGATGATGGGGGCAATGTGGTGCGCTCCGCTGCTGCTTTGCAAGGTGCGTAGTTGCCAACACTTCCCCCCAAAAGTGTGAATCCTGCTGACATAGAATTGGTTGACTTCTGCCAAGTAGCGAGTGTTAGAAGGGGGATGTAGCCCATCTGACAAAATAGCACGTCCAAGCGTGTTTCTGTCATTGGCATTTCTTGGTGGAAGGCTGACTTCGATGTGCCTCGAAGAGGCTGCCCCAACCGTCGGAGAGCATGATGTGAACTTGCCACAAGACCCATCAAATGCAGTGGAATGAGCTCATGGCTATGACTTACTGGTGCGAGACTTGACACAAGAAGCTTCAGGTTTCCAGATTGCTGGGCAAGATGTGCAGAAATGCAAGAAGCATTCCGCAGAATGCATTAGCCAGCAGACAAGTGCAAGACACAGACCGCAAGACAGGCAAGGCGCACCTTTTGGAAGCTGACTCAGAAGTCGCCTTCCTTGACGATGTCTCGCGGCTGTGGCTCGTTGAATGCCCCACCCAATGCCCCATACTATGCCTCATAAAATGAATAAACCTAACCTTGCCCGTTTCGG